CTCTCTCTCTCTCTCTCTCTCTCTCTCTCTCTCTCTCTCCCCTGCCTCTTGAGCTAGTCTCTCGAGATTGGGCGTTGGTTTTTTGGAGCTCAAATTACGAACAATAAGTTCGCAACGACTTGTGATCGGAACGGTACGTAGACAGGTAATCGTGTGGCGTGTTCACAGTGGATGTGATTCTCGTTCTTCCCTTCCGGGTGGTATTGAGTATCGAGTAAAAACCAGGTGTTGGACAGACAGGACCCTCCCCGAGGCCGCCTCCTTGACGAAACATTACTGTTTCTGCTTCGTCGAAAGTGCGGCTTGACCACCGTCGCTTCGACACCCTTGGGGACAGACGAGGGAGCATTCGACTGTTCTGGATCTTCGTCCGAATGTCCCTTGTGAAACATATCGCCACCAGTACGGAATGTCACGTACTCAGATTCAGCCACGGTAGACGGTAGATCAATGCATTCGGATGTACACACACAAGGCGCCATAGTAATATTTTCCAGATCTCCACGCCTTGTGTCCACCCAGAAGCAGGCCGAGTGAGTTTTCACTCACACAATCCCCGAGCATGTTTCTGCCCGCATTTTGTCAGCAGCGCAATCTCGGCACGAAGTCGTAAAGGGTGGTATGACCCAAAAGCTTGAGATCCGCCGATATTAGACGGGCTAAGCCAATACTCACCAGCTTCGAGGCTAAGCAGGAGCCGGTTGTAAGGTGTGTAGCCATGCCTTTGCACACAAGCCGACTTGCCGGACGCGTAGAGTCTCAGCTCGAGCGGATGGAGACGTACTTGTTAATACATTAGCAAATCCTACAGGCCCCACGCGCACACGTGATGTGACAAGGCCAAAAGAAACTATGCTTCATAGGATTTTGATTAAAACGGGGGCTTCGCCAGGTGTTGCATTCCTTAATCAGGCACGACGACGCGATAATCACTACCATCACTACCAACAACAGACTCCCACACCTGTTCATGTAGTACATCTGTTTTCGAGACGATTCCATCTTGACCGCCAGAGCACTGTCCGGCACGCTCTTGTAGTTCCCACCCAAGCCGTACCTAAAGTCCAAGAAAGCAACAACAAGTGGAGTGTTGCAGCTGATGTTAAGACTGGAGCACACCGGCGAAAGAAAGCTCCTACGGCACACTCTTAACCCAAGTTCTGCGGGGCGTTGGCAGGGATAACGTCGTGTTAAACAGGTTTTGCCTTGGGAATTGTAGGGGAGACAGCAGCGGTGATCACCGAATGATGAAAACTGCAGCCGTTGCTTGTGGATGTTCCCATTACTGGTCAAGGCCACACCGGACCCCTGAGGCGTGCCTTATATTAGCTTACAGTGTGTCTAACGACATGAGCCACATTTTCAGCCCATCCTTGGCGAGCATGTCCTCATAGAGAATCTTCTCGTAATACGGCGCCCACATCTTCACGGCGTCAAAATCTCGGATTTTGGCCTGAAATATTAGCGATAACGCACACACCGAGCGTTACATAGGAAGAGGGAGAGTGAGAGAGAGGGAGAGTGAGAGAGAGAGGGAGGGAGACCGGGAGAGGGAGAGAGAGGGAGACCGGGAAAGAGAGAGAGAGAGAGACAGACAGAAAGACAGACAGATTTCTGGTTGCGAACACGCACGTGAGGGGGAACGTACACACCGCAGCAAGCAGGAGGCAACCTATCACAGACAAACTTGCAGGCAGGCCAACAATGAAAGAAGAATGCAAGAAAAGTCGTGTAGGCCAGGGAGTCACAGAGGACACACACGTCCTATTGATAGACGCATGACAGCGAGCGAGACAGAGAGACCGCATCAAACCGGAGGAGATTGGGATCAGACAGACGGACGAGCATCCTCGAGAGATGCGAGGGCGAGATCAAACAAGGCACACGAAAACACATATCTACCCGACCGGACGAGGGAATCGGGGATGACCAAACACATGCCAGGTTGGCCCCAGTGACTGCGGCAAACCAAAATTTATCTACCTTCCGCAGCTCATAGATGTTCCCGTACGCCTCTCCGCCCGGGTCCAACTCATAGATGGCGGACTCGTCTCCTGGCCGACAGGGTAGCACCTCCCACGGCAAGAAGTTGTCGATGCAGGGCAACTGATGGCGGTAATGACGGCAGCAACAGCAACGTCAACAGCAACAAACAACGTGCGGTGTAGCACTCTCGAAGAATTCGCAAGTGTGTCCAGCCCGACCGAAACGGAATAATTTTCGTCCAAGAAGATGCGATAACGCGCAACCCCCAAGAGCCCAGGTGAGTTTGTCGGAGGCGCTGTAGGACTTAGATGACAGTAATATTGTGTGCCCACGCCGCGCACAACATACTGTAGGGGAACAGCTCGAATCGCATCAGAAAACAAAAAAAATGAAAAGAGCACCAGCAACAACCATAACGATATACGGCCCCAAAAACGTCAACAACCGCTTTGTTGCAGTAAATTCGTGTGAGCTTCACTCCACGAGATGATCCAAACATTGCGTTTACTTGGGTACCTCGAAGAAGGTGCGGTCAAAGATAAGAGCAAGTGAAGGTGGTTTGAAAAGCATTGAAAGGTAGTGAGAGCGCAAGTAAGGAGCTCGAACCGGTAGTGTAGTGAGCATGACCATTGAATTTGGAGGGTAGAAGACCAGCAACGACAACTCGTATTGTCCCCCATCGACACGTGCCATCTGCCGGGCGTTCAAACCGAAGAGTAAAAACAAAAGAAGCACCCGGAACAAGGGTCAGCGTGAAAACCACCACAACCAAGATAGTTTGACACGATTCGGAGCAGGCGGACACGAGTTGGAAAGGGTGGATGTGACGACATACAGGTCCAAATCGTGGGGAAACGTATCCCACAGGACTAGCCAACAAATCGTTGCCACAGCTCACCTCGTCTTTGGTCCTGATGAGCGCCTCCTTCCTGGCTTGCTTCTCCTCCTGTTGGGATGTGGGAAGGCCATGGAATGGAATAATACAGGCGGGGACAGCGGATACCAATCATACCGATGGCGTCGGCGACACGGGTGACGTTGCGTTTCAATACATTCGGGACGAACACACTTCAAAGGGCAACAGTTGGCCAGTGCTGACCTGGCCGCAGCGAGCGTGAATCGATTTCAATTTGTCCATGCAGGGCATTGCATATCTCGTCCGCATGCCACCATCGGGTGCCACGACTTTTCCATGGAGTTGGTGTGGCGAACCTCCCCAGAACGCGGGTGAGACGGAAAGAGAAAGTCTGATGCTTGGCGGTCCCATTGCTGTGGAGTGGCGAGGACCTTAGCGGCGCGTCGTGTTGCGCCCCAACCGACATTTGGACTTTGCCCTGGGCATACCAATACGTCTACGTGCTCTGCGATGATCACGAACCTCGGCGCCCATAATCCATGGCATCGTCATGAACTTGCTCATGTCCGGAATGCTAGCATGCGCCTGTCGGGCAAGAAAGACCGAAAAATGATCCGGCGAATACAAACATTCAGTTTGATTATTAAATTTGATAGACAAAGAACGGATGTAGAAAACGTGACCCCGCACATTTATCTCGACGTCGATAATCAAGCATTGGAAGAACCACGAGAATTTGAAGGGCCGAAAGGCACGAGATTCGAAGTGCGAAGACGGTGCCGTACGTTCCCGGTAATCACCGCTTCGTGCCATGAACGCTTGAAACGTGTTTCGGGTCGACCAGGTGTCATCATTATTTGATTAATGAATGGCGTGCAACAGTTCGTTACTGTCGCGCAAGCGCACCTCCACACAAACTCAATCTGGAGAGAGGACGCCAGTATCACAAATCGTACTCCCTGCGTCTGAGCATGTCATGGAACTAATGGACTACCCTGACTAGCTTTACATACGCGTGTGTGGCACTTTGAGCTCCGGAACAACAACAACGGAGGTACAGAGATATCTGCACACATGAGTACAAAGCATACAAACAGGGAGGCCCTTCCACACTCTAGTTACCGACAAAGCAATTTCTACCCTGGAATTGTGCAAAGTACCTGAGCGTGCCATGGGATCTTGTGCATCCCGCTGACCCAGTCGTAGGGGTTCCGCCACATCGCGACCACCAGGGTGTGGTTGATGTCCTTGCACGCGGGGCACTGCTGCCCTTCTCTGCACAACCTTTTGCCGTCTTGGATATCTTGGTAGATGCGATCTTGAAACCAGTGCTGACGATGGTGCGAGGGAGGGAATATGACAGACGAGGAACAGACGGAAACGGATGGGCGGGATGTCGACCTTCCGAGGAAGGGAATCGAATCCTGGAATGAAGTACAACGCACCACAAAAGAGGGGGTTGCGCATGGTGGGTTGTTTCGACTTTTCGCGACTTTCGCTCCGGCATTGAGAAGAGCATTTGCTGCTGCTCGTAATCCAAAGCGATGCTGTGAGCTGTCATGGTCCTCGACTCCTGAACAATGGGTAACTCGGGACAATTCCAAAAACGAAAAAATCTCGTAGTTGTCTACAAAAATTCACAGCGCCCTTGACAAGTCACACACACGCTGTACAATACCCGCGCCATAGGGTTGGGATGGCCAAATAACACCCCTGTCCAACATGCAAGCAACCCGCCCATGTTACCTTCCACGTGCAAAGCGTCGCGGTGACCGTAATATCCTTATCTCGAAAGTAGTCTTGCAAGAACTTCACCATCCACGTGGTCCCACTGTGCCTCTCGCCAATGAGCGAAATGTACTTGATTTTCAGAGGGCCAACACCTGCTGCGGCCGGGGGAAAAAGAGAGGCCAGCGAGGGAGGGGCGGGATAGGACGAGGGGGTTGGAAACAAGGTTCATCCGGGTAGTTTGCAACAGTGACGGTTCGCGTCAGAGAAAAATTGATCGCACTCATGCGCTTCATCGCTCCCCACCTTGTCGGGTGAGTCGCCTCATTACATCCGCGCCCTATCGGTATTCCGATCGTTGTTGGTTTTACTCCCAAACTCATTGCGTTGGGTGCATTCCGAGTGAGGGCGTCGATCCCAAATAGTGCTCCTAGATTGGTACCTGATATGATGGACAATACCTTTCGAATTCCCACCTTCGTGCATCTCACTGCAATTCCCGCGGCTTAGTGATCCTCTGCTGCTCCAAACGGTTCGTGTTGACTTACGGAAACATCTGAATGTTTCTGCCCTTCCCCGAAACTCCGAGCGCTGTTCCGTTCAAGCATGATCGCGTTTCAATACTGCTTTCCCCTTGTTCTGAGTCGAGCAATGTTTCCATCAAAAGCAGTGTCCCCGATTCTGAAGGGGCGCCAGCGTCCACTAACACTTCATTCTGGCCTTTACGAAGTTCGTAAAGGCAACCAAGGAAAACAGCTATGGTCAGCTCCTCCGTGTGGGAATTGCTCCTGATGTATCAAAGATATTTTTTGTTTTTTATCTTTACCGTTGCACGTGGGGAGAGGTAAACAATGTCGCCCAGTACTCAACACTGGGCTCCAGACTCGGACACCTGTTGGCATCCTCCACACCGAGGATAGGTAGAAGTCGAAACAGTCGTGTGGAGGTCTGGCTACGTGATGGCAAAAGGAAAGCGGTTCGTTGAGGCTGAAGAGTTGATCGGGATGCCCAGAGGGGCTGTCTACGCAAGAGAGAACGTGAGTACCAGGGTTCTGAACTGCAGTTCTAGGCAGGATGTTCAGGTTCTGGCGGGAGCTGCAACTCCCTAGGATTGCTACGCAAAACCACCAGACAGAAGGTTCGCAGACCTTAACCCTAACCACAACCCCAACTTAGCCGGATCGAAACTGTATGCAATATTATTGTTACTTAGTAGACCACTGGGACGGAATCAACATCCTATATGTATGGTTGCATTTTTAGAACGACCTGCGTAGACTACTGGCCCAGAGATTTTAACGCGACTACGACGTGAAGTGGGCGTGAAGATATAGTGAGCAAAAGAGTGCGGACATCGTGAAAAGGTCATGGCGCTGTCGCACTACAAAGGCCGTGGTGTGGGCTTTGTTGGTATGCCGTTTGTTCTGGTTTTCTTGATGCTTCATTCTCTCCCACTGCTAAAAATATGTGTGCCCACTTACGGGTTGTTACGTAACCTCTGGACATGGCAAGTGTCCGCGTCTGCTGGACCATAACTTGCTACCTGAGCAGGGATTGTATTGCGAACACAACAACACACATGCGCGTTTGTCTTTGGAGAAAAAAGAAGAATACATGCAACACCAACATCTACACCAGGAGGCGTAGGTGTATTGCGGGACAAACTACCAACGAACTCTTCAAACGTTCTATTCCGCGCGTTATTTTTGTGGTAATACTTGAATCCTGTTTGGTGCCCGTATTCATCTGAAGTGGTGCATCTTAATCACATGGTTTTTAAACGCCGCCGTGAGCGGGTGCCTACACACGAACACGCAGCATGCATACGTGCAAATTCTGGTGGTGGTGGTCGTGGTGTGGCATGTGCATGGCCTGGCCCTCAGCGGTCCAGCTCACGTAGGAGCGAAGCGACGCTCACAATGCGGTGTTGTGGCGATTGTTGAGAGTCGCTTTTGTTGTTGCTCTCGTCACATACACAATGATGCGCGCAACTCTGTGCCGCATGTAGGCATGCTATTGGACTGCCCAGTTCGCCTCTTCAAACTGCAGACGCATGTAGAACCGCCCTTGCCTTCAGCCTCCTGCGCCCTCCTATACGCGGACGATCGGACAGGGTTACATCCGACACTCGCTCAATGCATAGTCTCCTAGAACCGGCGAGGTACACCGTTTTCCACACAAGGTACCAACCCCACAGAGACTACACCACACCGTTGTGGAATTTGAGTGCAAGGATCCGAAGTGCAGTTCAATAGGCAAGATGTCCAGGTTTCGGCTGAAGCTGCTAATCCCTCGGATTGCTGCCCAAAGGGGGTACATACAAGTATTGCCAAAAATCTACGCGAGGGACAGGATCTCCGCTGCCCGATTCAAGGACATCGTCTGGATCAGGGTCTGGACATGAAATGCACCTTACCTCGACACGTTCGTACCGCGTTGTCCTCTCATGGTGGCTGCGATCAAGGCTACACGTGGTTCTGACCGCCCTCTATAGAATAGCTTATTAACTCAATATTAACTTTTGTACACGGGTGTGCCACACTTGTACCCAGGCGTACTACAGCACGATGCTACCTGCGGGAGAACAAAGGATAAACTGAACAAAGGAGTACCATCCGTAAAATATGTGCAGTTCTTCCTCGTCGCTATAGATACCACACCCACCCACCCCGTGTCTTCGTCGCGAGGCTCAATGGAGTCGTCCTAGCCTCGCTGTCGAAAGGTGAGGCTTCTCCCTCCAGAGACCGGCCCTTGAAATGCTGGGATGTCCGCTGTGTTGTTGCAAACACTGATGTCTTGTTCGCCGCTGCAACAACTGTATTATCGAGGCGATGTCTCTCTTGTGCCCGCATCTTCTCCCTTAGGGGAGACCAGGAAATACGCCCTATCACTACTACCCCAGCCGTCACGACGAGAACCAGAAGTGCTAGTAGAGAAGGCCTCCCCATCCTCTCTCAAGGATAATTCGATTGCTCGTGGATGGCATTGTTGTTGCAAGATGCAGCAACCGGCACCGATTCACCACTCCAGAGAGGGGAACAATGGATCATACCCTTGGATTGGGCTGTGGGGGGGGCGGGGGGCACTCTCGTTCACGATCTACGATTTCTACGGTGGTATATCTACCCCAAGTACTCGAGGACATTGCGGTTTGGGATGAGGGGGCCATGATCTGGGGAGTCTGATGCATCGTATGTTCACCGTAGCATCTTCATTCAACGCAAGCACGTGCCATTGCCAGTAGCGTAAAACAAGATGTCTTGAAGAGGGCACGTGGGGTGGATCCCCGCGAACATGTGCACATGCAATCTACAGCACCCCAGGAGCCAGGAAGGCCGACATCCAAAGCGAGGCTCGACTGTACCTACTTCACGACAAGCAGGATGCCGACATGAAATGATTCCTTCTCAGAAAGCTCTCGGCAAGACGGCTTCAGCGTAGCCATTTTCGGCACCGCCACTCATATTTGGTGTGCAGTTGTCGAGCTTTGAAAATCGGTCCAGCGCCCATTATACATCCTCCAAGTGTCAGTCTACGCAATATTGATCAAGCAAACATACGTGTCGGGTCTGGGGGAACATGGGCTTGGGTGGGGGTGCCTCAGAAAGAGCAAGACGGCGGATGTTTCTCTCTTGGTGTGACCGGTGGCAATATCGATCAGCAATGCCGCACAGACTTTTGCGCGCCGAAATATGCGTGCGACAGCTTTAACCTAACCACTTCGGTGGAAAGCGGATTTCTGTTCGATACGGTGTCGGGAGTGCTCAAGGGGAGAGGGCTTGGCCCTTGTGGTTGCAGGTGGGAAGGAAGTGGGAACAGGGGGTGGCAGTGTCGGGGGTCTGGGGGAACATGGGCTTGAGTGGGGGGTGCCTCAGAAAGAGCAAGACGGCGGATGTTTCTCTCTTGGTGTGACCGGTGGCAATATCGATCAGCAATGCCGCACAGACTTTTGCGCGCCGAAATATGCGTGCGACAGCTTTAACCTAACCACTTCGGTGGAAAGCGGATTTCTGTTCGATACGGTGTCAGGGGTACCAGGGAAGACGGGGCCGAGTTTTGCTTGATTTCGGGTGGATGAGGTTGGGGTTTTGTTCGTTTTTCTCCATCTAAGGTTCGTGCCTAGAGTTCAGCTATAGTGTTTCAACCAAGGTTTTGTCGACTTAGAGGCAAACATTCCTCGCTATTGGGCATCGAGTTAACTTGGCTTGACATGACGGCCTTTACGATCGACTTTTTATGTGTGTCTGCATTTATCTGCAATTGTCGGAGGGCAAACAAAATACACTAATAATAATATGGGAAAAGCATTCAGTCCGTGCTTTGGGGTTAGAGTTAGGGATAGGGTCTGCGTGCCCCCTCCCTATTCTCTTTGTAGATTTTGTAGATACTCTTAAAATCCTGCGTGTTCGGCCTGATCTCAACCCAAAACTCCGATTTTAGCCAGACAGGCCAAAGAAGACAATAGGGGCAGGTGGGCAATCACCCACAACTCGAGGTACACACAAGGGGCTGCACCTCTCGCCCTTATACATAGTCTACACCAGTAGCGACGCAGTTGGTCGACATTCTTTCATCTTTTGTTAGAGTAGCAACATGTGTGGAACACGCCACTTCCCACGTGCGACAGAATATCACTACCAACGGTTGCCGACAGTAGGCAGGCAGGCAAGCTGCGAAGACCAAGCAATGTAAGGAATACAACGATCAACCCATTTCTGTGTTTATGAATCTAGACTACCGTTCATTGCACTCGACACAAAACCACAACAAAGTCGGTGACAAGGTTACCTGACCACCACTAGTCTATATTCACATGAACACAATCGTCAGCCAACGTATTGTAGCATCACGGTTTTTCCTTCGCGTAGACCAGATTCGGAATAACGGCATGACTCGTGAATACACTCGAAAAACGAAAACCACACTCCGCATAAAAAAAGCAAGCACAGCAGCTAGAACACGATAACACAAGCACAGGGTCTGTAACAGACGGCACGCCAAACAACACAAAACTTCATCCACGCCACGAATCACACCACGCAAATTGACGGCGACACCACTGCACCGCGAAACTGACAGCGGTAGATCACACCACACCTTGCAAGGAAGAGGGAGGCTCAACGGAGGTGAAGAAAAAAAATGTGGTGGTCACGCAACCGCCCCCCTCCACACTCTTCGGCCCGACTGCCTCGGCAAACACGAAAACGCTAAAACGCAAGCATATGCGCTTTCTCTCCCTGGAGGCCCACCATTACAGCCGAAAAAACGACAAAAGATCTTCGTATCTACGCGGCGCGAAACAGCGCAAGCAGCTGCCTAATGGGTGTGGCTCTAACGCCATGATGCCGCGTGTTCAGCGGGAGGGCAAAGATAGCCCCCACCACATTGAAGCAAATACGTAGCCAAACCGAACAAGCCTCTGCATACGGATTGGCCAGAGTTTCTCAGCATAGCCAAAATTGTTTTGCCCCCGGAACTTCGATACGTCTGCCGAGAAGCGTACGGCGATCGTGTAGAACTGATATTGCACAAAAATAAACCACACCATGCTTCAACGTGTCCAGCTAGCGCCCGCCAGCCATCTCGTCCATTCGTTGCCGCAAAACATGTCCCAATGTGGTGGAGCCACAGACATCGGCCAAAGTCGAACCCAAAGTTTTGTCCAGAGTCCGAGGAAGGCTCCGACGCATCAAACCACACCATTGGGGCCTCTCAATTGTGGTAGCTTGGAAACGCCGTCTTTGGGGCACCATCAAATGAACGAAGCCCCCAGCCAGTGGTAGGATGGCAATCACTCAGCCCTGTTTCCGACCCCACCCCGTCCCTAACCCCCACCACCTCTAGCTCAAAGATTTCGTTATCAAAATCCTCGTCATCTTCGTCTTCCTCCTCCTCTTCGTGTCCTGGCCCACTCCCCGCTTGCGCAAAACCGTCTCCGAATTTTCCGTGGCCCTTCTCGCCTCGCATCCCGACGGCCGCTGCGGCGAAACTACCATCCGAACGAACAACTCCATCAATATCCACGTCAGGGCCTCGGTCCTCGGACAGTCCCATCCAGGTGGACGTTTTTCTGCGCCAAGGCTGGACGGCGCTGATGGTACTCTTTAACTCGGGGGTGTCGCGATACCCCCCGCCGGCGCTATCGGTAGGCCCGGACGCCGCTGCCGCCGCCGCCGCCTCTGCCGCCGCTGCAGCTGCCGCTGCGGCCCGGGCAGCGGGCGGGACGTAACGACTCGGGCTTCGCTCCTTGCCTTGGCGTGGGTCGGCGGTGTTTCGAGCTCGGCTCCAAGCGCCGGCACCCGGACATGGAGTATTTCCGACGAGACCAACACTGCTAGTAGTACTGCGAGACTTCTCGCTTTCCTTCAGCAGGGCCGCGATCACCTGCACGACAAAACAAAACATTTGGTACGACATGGTATGATTTTCCTGAACATGAATGTTGGTGCTGCAGGTAAGGTTAACCAGGACGCGCTTGGGCACGGCATCAGAGAAGGTTTGCCGAACGTGCACGCGCGCAAGTTGTGGGCTGGGGGCAGACAGCGAGCCTGCCTGGTGCCCAACAAGTCTTCAGAGGACAATCGACAGAGAGCATGGCACCCTCGACTACGAACGGCAACTTTCACTAACGCATCGGGGTGCACGACCCTTCGAAACCGCGGTAGAACACTGTGCCACACACACTCCGCTTTTTTATCCGAAACTTTCGTTGCTTCTGTCCCGCCGCGAAACGCATACTCCGGGGGGTGATCGCTGTCGATATGTTCTCATCCTTGGATACACCCACATTAGCTAGCACGTGTAACCAGCACAAGATACATACCTGCCGCCGCTCGCTCGTAACGTCATTGTCAAAGCTCTGTCCAGGCCGTTGCATAATGTCGTCCTTTGCTGACGTGGCCGCTCCTCTCCGCAGAAGGAGGTTCACGATGTCGGCATGTCCGCTGTGGCACGCACGATGCAACGGCGTGCTCTTCCAGCTGTCTCTAGAGTCCACCTCGGCTCTTCAGGAACAGGGAATCGCAAAAAATGGCGCGCGGTTCGGGGGGCCTCATTCATTGCTAGGTTTAGTTACTGGGCCATTGGACACTATCGCTATCATACGCCAATTTGCGTCTGTTTGCCAAGTGCACGAAGAACATCATGCTGTGCCCCGTATGCCTTTAGGTTTTTGAGCCATCAATTTTCTCCTGGAATGACGATGGTTCTCATGACCAACTGCTCACGTGCTGAACACACGTGTCTTACATCTTGCGCCCATTGGTAGAATGTACCCACACGGGTATACATGTAGAGCAGCAGCAAACAACGCACACCCACAAACCTAGCGCGTGTGTACGCCCACTAGCCCTCTCCCCCTCGCCTGAGCCGAAATCAGAAACGACCCCCTCTCTCACTCACCCCGCATCGAGAACAGCACGCGCGGCCTCCAGGTGCCCCTCGAGGCATGCCCTGTGCAGCGGAGACGCCCCCCACTTGTCGCCGGCTGACACGTCAGCGCCCCTCCGAGCCAAGAGGTTGACCATGTCGGCCGACCCCGCGTAGCAGGCGAGGTGGATTGCTCGGTAGTCGCCTCTTCTCGTAGGGACATCGACGTCGGAGTTCACGAAAGCAACGACAGAGACATCTCCAGAGGTAGGAGAGGCACCTCCTCCACCTTTGTTGCGGTCTAGTAGGGCTCGTGCGGAGTGTAGGTCACTGGACTGAGCGCACCGGTGTAGAGGGGAGAACCTGTCGTTTGGATCGTCGTTCGGCCCGGGGGGGCAAGGGGGGACAGGGTCAGCAGGGAAGGGGGAGGAAATATGCGGGGGCGGTGCCGGGGTCAGCACGCTTCGCAACGGCAACGCCCCTTTTCGCAGAGAATACAAAAACCACAAAGCGGTGGTAATGAACAACAGAGGAGCAACAAATCCGCAACTAGGTCCCCACTTGCGTGGACCAAGTACGTCGCCATCACACGGAAGCTTGCGGGGGAGATTTCACTTCTTCGCCGCCATGTTTCGCTACATCTTGAAGTACGAAAACCCTCCCGTCTCCAGCTGGTGCGCCTGATACATCATTAGTGCTGGACTCCCTGTCGACTCTAGTCCTGTCGTATCAAACGCACATGATGCCTACGTTCCGCCGCAAGCCCCCCGAACGATACGCACGAACGCAAGCACGCACGCGACCGACAACCCCTCTCACCCGGCGTTGTCGAAAGCGTTCGCGTCTGCCCCCGCAGCTAGGAGGAGCTCAACCACCCGGATGTGGCCCCCGATGCATGCCGTGTGCAGCGGCGTTCTGCCTCGCAGGTTCACCACCTCCAGGGGCGACACGCCGCCGCTGTCCGCGTCGCTCTTCGGCGCAGCTGGGTCAACGAGCAACGCGGCGATGCCGGAGGTAGGTGGCACCAGCGTTGTTGTTGCCGTCGCGCTCGGTCTCCTGAACTTGAGAATCTTGTCGGCGTTTCGGGCGATGTAAGCCTCTACCGAGGACACGTCTCCGGCGGCAACGACAGCGTGGATGGCGAGCGTCTCGGCCTCTACCCTCGGTCTGTTGCTGATCTCCAATCGCGATGATGATGATGCATCGGTAGCGGGGATAGGCGGCTCCGTTGCAGGAGAATGACCACTCAGCTCGGGCTGTTCGCCAGAAACTAGCTCTTGTTGCTGCATCACCAATTTGTTCTCGTCCTGCCAGACGCAGACGAAAAGAAGGGCAATCGATACGGGCAGGGGTTGAGAGAGCAGTCACTTGTATACATGACCGATCGAGGAATTCAACACGTAACTACATTCAACTCAAACGAGTATCTTGGCCGCGTCGGGAACTGCTGTGCTGTTGTTGGCGTAACAACGGATGCCGTGTGAATCTGAGAATATTTCGAACATTGGGATCCAGTATGTCCGGCGAACCAAGCACAGCGGGTACTGCAGCGTTATTACACCACCGTCGGGTCGGTCACGGACGGGGGCGTTTCAAGATGCGAGAAGGGTGAATTTGTACACACATGCATGTGTAGCCGGTTCTGATAAGGTTGCCAACCTCTGGTCTTTGGTGAAACTTATCCTTCTCGGGCTTGCTAGGCTGATACTACATGGTGGTGCTATCACAAGCCAACCCCTCTTTTTTTTTTTTCGCCAGCCGCCCCGGCTATCAGCCGAATCTCTGTCTCTTTGCGGGAGAGATGGAGGTGACCCTTCGGAGAGACAAATATTGGAGACGTCGATCTCGAATCAGCATCTGCTAACACAACTCTCACCTTCATTTCACTACTAGCGCACGCTCCTTGATCCACGCTGTCACTTCTCACTGGGTCCATCGAGTTGCTCTCTGCTCTGAGCGCTGGCTGGGTGTCGTGCGTGCAACGACGCTGCCAAGTAACAGGGGAAGGTGCAACAGGCACCCCCCCGATAGGGCGAACCAGTTGGTACCTCGGTACAGACGGCGGAGCCCCCAACGCTGCTCGCTTCTGGACGCTCCAGTGTGCTGTGCAGTTTGTCACCTGCTGGTGTGACTTCGCGCTCTTCTTGCTGTGTCTCCCATACGCGTTCTTCCTGGCGCTGTGGGTCTTTGCTTGGTCGTAGTCGCTGGAGAAGGGTGAACTAAGGAACGGAAGTTATGGGGAAGGCCAAGAAATCCCGAGCTGTGCGGGTGAAGTTCGCCCAGGCCAAGCGCTTGCTGAGCCCGAAGGACTGCCGCTTGAAGGGGAACCAGGAGAAGGAAGAAACCAAGAGAAAAAAGGTGAGACGAACGCAACAAGCTAGCATGTGAGAGAGGGACACGTGAGACTTGTCCTGTCCGCTGTACGGCAGTGGTGCGCTGCTGGACTTTACGAAGAACAACAGGTATCCCTACCAGCCGCAGTGGACACCCTCGTCCGTGATGGACGCACCCGATCCTCTCCACTGCTGTACTTGGTACTGCTGTATGCATACTACCAGTGTTTTGTTGGCCGTTTTGTGGTTCGCCACACGTTGCGCGGTGAGGGACGAGGATGCTATCTCTCCGTGTAACATTCGGGAGAGCCCAGTATTTCACTTGTTACGTGCTCTGTGGAGTAATCAAGCAGGCAAATTCGACCGACTACTGCGCAGGTTTCCAGGATCATGATCCACAGCGGTTGATCACCGTCCACAACCGCGGCGGCCACTAGCTCTCAGATGGGCTTGTTTACTCCAACACACACGGGTATTGACGGTCGTTCGTGCTGGCTGTACATGAAGGTTGTGGAATTTGTTCGCAAAGACGTGCTGTCAAGGTCTATAGGTTGGACGCCAGACATGCAACTTGAGCCCATCTCTTGAGAAGAACCTCGCGGTATCGGACGTGTGACCCGTAGGGAATGACCATCCTCAATGGTGTCAGCGTTGTTGCGGCTTCAGCACTGTGAGGTCGCACTACTGTTGGAGATGAGTTGTTGATCCCACTTGTCGTCTTGACCTCCGTTGCACCCCATGGAAAAATGGGGAAAATGGGCCGTTTTGTTGTTGTTCATGACAACGATAACCGTTCGACCTGCCGTGTTGATGGTCTTGCGCTCGGTTCTTTGGGACCATCGCTGGGCGCGTGTTTGCTCACTCAATGTCAATCGCGACTCGTTTTCGGAACCATCGATCATGTTTTGTGCAGGCGAAAGAGGCGGAGACGAATCACGTGAAACAAGTCCCCACTGCCATGTTCTTCGCGCACAATACCGCCCTCGGCCCTCCGTACCACGTTCTCATCGACACCAACTTCATCAACTTCTCCATCAAGGTTTGATCCCGTGGTGTGGTGCGTGTCGAACGGGAAAGATAAGTCGAAATGTGTAGTGTCGAGATGACCATTGCCCAAGGGTCGTCTGCAGGCGGTTAAGCCTTTGCGCCAATCGAGACAGAGAAGTCTGGGTGACGTTGAGACAGAAGTCTGTTCCGATAGAAGTCTGTTCCGATAGAAGTCTGTTGAGGCAGTGATCGAAAACGATCTTGTTGCGAAAATGCCGCTGCTTCTGGGACTTGTAGTTCTTTTCAGTCATGTTCACTTCACAGCTTACTGCAGAGTTGAGATGTTGAGGGACAGGTGGGAGTGAGCCCGGTGGGGCTCTCAACTCCTCCGATTTGGCCTCAACTACAATCCTCAGATAAAACACCAATTCGTTCACGAGCTGTTCGCTGAGCTCGTCGCTACACGTGACGTTTTACCAGACGTCAGCCACTTGTCACACCGCATCTACGTATCGATGCATACAGCAATCATCCAGCTGTTGCACTTGACAGGTAGATAGCCTGGTGCTGTTGCTTGCTTTCCGCTGTGTTCACTCCATGGCGTATGTCCGAAGACACTCAAGCCTCTCATGGGAGCATCACTGGAACCACGGGATGGCCATCAACCTATCATGTTTGCACCCGCCATGTTTTTTCATCGCCACTTGGCCGGTCGCCCCGGTGGTCTAGTGGTAACCGCGAAACAGCTACATCGTCGCGATGGTCGTGAGTTCGAATCCCTGTGGGGGTGAAAATTTTACAAACTTGCGGGTGAACGCGAAAATGACCTGAAAAACTCTCAAGTACCAAAGTTCGACGTGAGCGCCGTTGACGAGGGGAAGGAGCGGCTGGACCCTTCTCGCGATACAAAATAAACTTCAGCACGCACCGCAGGCGGAAGGCGGGGCACGAAAACAAAACGCAAAGAAGACAAAAAGCTCCGGTGTTTTCCCACCTCCCGTGTGACCGTGGATGGTAGTTGTAGGAAAAAATACACTGAAAAGTGTAGTACACGTCTCACCACGAAAAATGGGGGGACTGTCGCCATAATATGTAGGACGAAAACACAATACACACAAAGGTGGATCGATTTGTACTTTCAGCAAGGGAAGCGGATAGAGTTGGAGTCGTAAAACGAGGAAAGCTGCCGCCACCCTTGCTGTGAGTGAGAAGCAAATCAGGAGGTGGACTTGCCAATATTCTAGCTTCGGCCAAGGCCTACCACATTGAGTGGTACGTTCAGGCTCTGACAATCTCTGGTTTTCGCACCCCCTAAACACGCGACGCACTCTCGATAGAACAAGCTCGACATCGTGAAAGCCATGATGGACTGTCTGCTGGCGAAGGCCATCCCCTGTGTCACGGACTGCGTGGTGGCAGAGCTGGAGAAGCTTGGGCCCAAGTATCGCGTGGCACTGCGACTGTCCAAGGACCCTAGGTTTCAGAGACTGCCCTGCTCCCACACCGGGACTTACGCGGATGACTGCTTGGTTCAGGTGAATTTGACGTTGTACGGGAAGCATGTTGCTCCTTTTCTATTTTGGCCCTGACCGTTTTCCTGAAGTGTCTGTAATTCGAAGGAGGCAGTAGCGGGGCGGTGGTCGGTGCCAGTGTACATGGACTGGCCTGGCCCATGCAAGTGTTTCATCTCATCCCACAAGACTTGTTTTGGTGGGCCGCGGAAAAGAACGCATGGGGGGGTGGGAGAGGGGGAATGTCCTTTGGACGAGAGAGGCGTTCCCCCAGCAGAAGTGCATTTCGAATAATGAAAGTTCGCTCTTCACCGATGCATAGGTGGCCTGGAACGAGAGATTTCAACTTTTGAAATGCTGAACCCCTTTTTTTTGGCGCCACCCCCCACCGCCGTCATGTCATGTTTCGAAAACAGCGGGCAGAACAGCACCGATGCTACATCGTGGCCACTTGCGACAAGGAGCTCAAGCGCCGGATACGCAAAATTCCGGGCGTGCCCATCATGTACATCTCCAACAGAAAATTCTCGATAGAACGAATGGCCGAGGCCTTTGGGGCGCCGCCGACCTAAATGAAGTAGTGTTCCAGTGTGTGGTCTTGTTTCCTCTTAACACCCGTGCGACTCGACGGTGGTACTGCGATCTGGAGTTTCGCACGGCTTTTAGGGACGAATCACCCGTTTTACGAAGGATAGCAGCGTGCCAGATAGCGGGCAGTGCTAAAGGCCAGACGACAAATGAACAGAGCGTGTTCAGCTTGATGGTGTCCCGGCATGGGTAAAATCATGAGTGCGCGGGTGCGGCCGCGGCCAAAACACGGACAGCCGCTACCGCCGTTTCCCGCAGCACGTCACTGGAGTGTCTAGTCGTTCACAATTCGCCGCACGTTGTACATTTCAGCGGCTTGGGTGGGTCCTCGTGTGAAGGCAATATTTGTGGATGCTTTGGAGGTTGGTCGTCGTAGTGGACCGCAACATCGGCAATCGCAACGACGTGTTGCCCTAGGGTTTGAAGACGGCGGTGGGTCTGGCTAGGAAGCGGGTCCACGTGTGCGAGGATATGCATGGGGGGCATATTGTGACCCATGGGCAACATCTACTACCGCTGTAGGTGGGATTAACAATTAGTAGTGCTCATGCGTTTTCATTTTCGGCTGCCTGTGTGCGTCCACGAATATGAATTCGTTCTGAACGTTGCGTGCGGTGTTGAGCACCGTTGTATTGGAGGGGAAGCGATGTGGCGGGTTGTGAGGCCGAAACGGTTTCCTCACGATATTTTGTATCGGCCTCCGCTACCCGCGAGTTATCTGCAGTGCTGCTAAATAGAGCGAGCGGCAGGGTTCTCACACCCGCAGTTTTTGCGACAGGTTCTCCTGCACACACGTATTGCAGCAGCTGGTTCCAGCAGAAAGCCGAACGGTCATTTCACCCCACACGTGTGCTCTCCGGCCCCCGCTCCGTAATAGGGTTTGGAGGAGGCTTCAAACACAGCACGAAGGTACACCCCAACGAACCGCAAAGACTGCACCGATAGAGCTGAACCACCAGCCACTAGGGCGAGCTATTGTATGTGTTGCTCAACAAGTAACAAAATGCACAACTGTGGTCGTGTTAAAATCGTATCTGGCTGTGAGCGAGATAAAAAATCTGGTTAGGCGGAGGTTTGACACGCGCACACGGCATCCGTCTCGCCTCTATCCGAGCTCATGGCTACACCGATCCCTGCCCGCCCGCCTACCCGCCCGCCTACCCGCCCGCGCCTTGTTTTGTTCCTGCCATCTCCACTTTTTGGCTAAACAACTGCGCTTGTCACCAAGCTCATCCATTACCCATCCTCTTCCTTTCTCGTACCACGTCGTGTCCATCCGAGCTCCCAGCTAAACGAATCCCATTTTCCCCACCTACGCAAAACTGGGAGGTATTCATTCCAACCAACCAGATTGGCAGCAGCTCTTGCCCCACCTACCCCCGGATATCCATCTCCGCATCAACCAGCCTCATGGCGATACTGATACGTTGCCCATCCTCTCACGCGCACTCCATCCCAACTCCGTGGTGCGTTTGGACCCAACATTGCGATGTGACGTTGTGGATGGTAGTACAAATTCGTGGAAGGGAGTGAAGCGATCCCAGCTACAGCTCCTACTTTGCGTGACCGGAGCGCAAGAGTGTGACGTAATCACAGTAATCATATCGTACGCATAATGAAATGAGAAGGTAGCGTGCTGCGGATTGGAGTGAAAAATGAGTGAGTACAACTCATTCCAAATGAAGTGAAAAATGGACAGAGTGAAAATTGAGTGAGCACACCTTACACGTCGTTCCATAACGAATGAGTACGTCCAAAGGGAGAAGAGTAAGAAGCTGTGAGAACCTACGTCGTTCCATTGACGAAGGCTGTACTCTGTCGGTGAGACATTCATTCTCCTTCATGAAAACGGAGGCCGAGGAAATTTGGCAAAGGATGAAACATCATCTAGAGTCATACGTGGCGCATGTAAACGGAATATCGGCGGGGGCTGGAGATGTCATATTAAGGACATCCACCCCTAACCGTAAAGCACTTTGCTGCAGAATGGGAAGGAATGCGAGATATGTCGGCTGGCAGGATCGAGGTACCCAACAGCACACCGTGGCAGCACTCCAAACTTCATGCGTCATAGCTTCAATGAGCGGACTTTCAGCCGATGCGTACAGGGTCGTTTTGGGCTGGTCGGGTGGGAGTCGAAGGGCACGCGAAAAGAAGGACAAGAAACTTTTGTGGGGAGATGAGGCATCCCCTGAGGATATATTCCCCGCCTGACTCTCGCACGTTCTCGCCCCGCTCCTGACGAGACTCTGTACGCATTCACTCAAGTACTGATGTAGCTCAATTCGATCTATGATTCATGCATCCAATGAAAGCTGGCGACTTTTCGTTGTTCAATCCCGACACGAAAGCCGAGGCGGTGGCCGCGTTGGTGAAACAAGAAGCGCATGTAGTACTACTGCCGTGACATACGAAGCATACATCCTCCCCAAGAATTTTTTCGCGTATCATTCTCCTCGTCTCTTTCGATGTTTTCACCCCATCGAGACATTTTCCCGAATCTGTAAGGATGGATGCCGTATGGGACATGCCGCCGCACCCACATCGAAGTTTACACGACTCTGCCCGCACCTGAAACGTCACTTACTTTCCATTTTTCTCCCACGCCCTTATTCGTGGAGCCCTACGAGTGACCTGTATGACACGGTTGGCGTTGTTACCCCCAGCGTGCGTAGGTCCAATTTACGAACACGTTTTTGTGAGACATTCACTCTTCCCCATGAAATGCGCCACACCAGGACTTGCCAGTAGTCGAAGCGGGACGATGATTACAGAGGCAAAGAGTGTCCAGCGTCATACGTGGCGCGTGTCGACGCAATACTAACGGTGGCTTAACATGTCAACATGTAGGCTCGAGGTACCCAACAAAACCCAGCACTCGGAGCAGTTAGTTGTGGCTGCTTGCACCGGTAGAATGAATGGAACCAAACCAGACCACAGAAGAACAAAGGCAGTCTCACCGGAGAGTGGATGAAAGCACGCCTGAGGAAGGGCAGGAAAAAGCCCGTGGACTGATGAGAGGAGCTGCTTCTCCGACAAGTGCCAGCTGGAATGGAAGGTATCTGAGGGAGGAGGAGTGGGAGTGCAGCGTCAGCTGGAATGGAAAGCAACGCAGGAGGGGAAAGCAGCTCAGGCTGGAATGGAACAGAGCCTGCAGTAGGATGATGGGGACCACCTTGCCACTTCTTCCTCGCATTCTCCTCCCTCTCCAGTTCACATCGTAGCCGCTTCGCCTCACCCCCCTGCGAAACATTCCCGGTGCTTCGGTCACACCTCCGACCCGCCGGTCAAGGTTACAGCGCGGATTCAGGTGACAGGGTTTCCCATATTTTCGTTTCTTCCGGCGGGGATGGGCCAGCCGATGGCTGGGTGTCTCGAAGAAAAAGCCCGCAAGGGTGGAGCCGACACTCGTCGTGGGGTGGCGCTGGACGAAATCGATCGGGCCAAGGACCGTCAGGCGAGTCGCGTGCTCTGAGCCGAACAACCACGACGACATGAAAAGTTGGTCGTATTCCCTTGTTTGGGAGCACGGGCAAGAAGTTTCATTGATATAAACTCGAGCACCACCTGGAGAGGAGCATGTCTGTCGTTCCAATCCCCCTCAACATAGAAGTCTCGGTCGTTCCCGAAGTTTTGTCGACAACCCTAGCGCATGGTCCGGGCGGAGAAATACCGTGCGTGTGTATCCTAAAAAAGTAGCTTCCCCCTACAGCAAAACGAGGACCAATACAGTGACAGTTGAATATGCCGCATGTGTCTGCTTTCTCAAAGCGAGAAGAAACACACGAATGCTATCTGCCTAGATTCCTTGGATGTCTGGGTGCTTACTGCAGAGGCGTGAGGAAGAGGAGAGGGAAAGAAAACACCTGGAAAAGCTGCGGCTGAAGGAAGGGCAGAAGATGAAAGAGGAAGTGGACCTCTACGAAAGCGCGCTCAGCGCCAGGTACGGGAGCACTAGGAGCACTAGGCCGAGCATCGAAGTCTGGGTTAGGCATGTTTTTTATGAATACTTATTTTAGTTTCCATCGTCCCGAAAAGTGTTATTGATAACTCCGTTGGGTACCATTCCGTCTTAAACTCATTTTCATAGGCTTCTCATGCGGTACTACCACATCTCGCCCTCTTCAAATATTCACTCCATATTTCTTCCGTTTTTTCGTGTTTACCTTTGCAGCCACCCCATACTTTTCAGATCCTACGGAACGGTTTTCGCCACCGTTCGTATCTTCTCGTGGGCCAAGTCTTGTCTGTGGAGCGGAGCAAAGCCAAAAGAAGGCGAGGAACATGCAGAAAAGCGGGGTTCCGCAATGACAGAGCAAACCGGAAACACGGCAACGCTAGAAGAAAAACAGTAGAGTCACAATCACACGCTCGGGAACACGAAACAACCAAAACAATTAACAAACAACAATCAGGCAACGGGCAGCCACCCGGGAAAGCGAGAAGCCTGAGGCCGAGAAGCACTGGAGACGCCTGGTCGCGATAAGGCAGAGACGCCGGAAGGGCACTGCCGGAGCCGCGGCGGCTGTGAACAACCTCGGTGTGCTTTTCATGGACCAGTCGGACCGAGACTCTGTCCACGCAGCGAAAGGGCGCATGCTTCCCAGGTGGGACATGCTTTAACAACTGCGGAACATGTTTGCGTGCAACATATGGACGGAACGGTTGGGTGTCCTGCTACAAACCGCCAACCGAGTGTCCCGGTTGGCTTTAGGGCGATGAAGCCAAAGGGTGTACGCGGCCAGCCCCACTAGCCCATCCGGCTGCGAGACGTTGTTCCTTACCGAGAACAGTGCAGCTGACATGACGGCGCCTCAATTTGCCCTGGCGCAGGCTGCCGTCGCCATGGCGGAAGCGGGCTCAAGAACACCCAGCCACCCAGCAAGCGATAGGAAAGCCAGGCCGTCAACACCACCGTCTTTGTCGACGACGACGCTCAAACCAACCGCTCCAAGCAGCGCAGACCCGCCTCAAGCCGTAGCAGAGGTGGCGACGGCAGCGGCAGAAGGCTATGCACGGACAGACGGGTACGGTGAGAGGGAGAACAGCGAACACGAAAGGGTCTGCTTGTGCCGGGAGGAATTGAGGAGTGGCAGATGCTCCTCGCCCTCTTTTGCAGCATACTCAGCTTCGCGACCGAGGGTCCCGAGCGCAAATCCGACCACAACGACGAGGATCAGAACGCGGGCGACGGCGAGAACGGCAGAGGAAACGAAAATGGAGTCAACACGGAGGTGGATGACGAGGTCGGCAACGAATCGCGGGGACAGGGAGGGAGCAATGTGAAAGACAACTGAGCACGGCATCAGAAGAGACATATTGATTCGCCGACAACTTATCCGTCGCCGCGAGTGATAGACTATAGAAAATGCATGATTTTTATCTCTTTCGATTCATCTTGTCAATGCTTTAGGAATCGGTATAGACGGGGTTCGCCAGGTCTATGACCATGTAGCTTCATTGCGCACTTGAGTTCATGAAACTCCAGAGCATGGGTCCGGGTTTGTTCGTCAACGTTTCAACAGCGTGTATCGCTCGCGCAATACGATATATCAGTCGAAACACACAGCAACGACATCGTACGAATTCATCATTTATTTGCTGAACCATTTTCGTATTCCTCCCTTCCTCCATCTCTTCGGCTCCTCCTCCCTGGAAAGCGAAACAA